CCTATATTTTTTATATTATAATAATGACCAATTTCATATATTCCAGCTCTTCACGAAAATGGCGTCGTCCAAATAAACAAAAAGAGTTTCTTGTACCCTAACGTGCCGATACTATTACGCCCTCGGGACGTAAGACAGGACATGTACTGCAAAGTAGGGGAGGAGGAGACGCAGGTGGAAGCTCAGTGCATACAAGTGCTAGACGCTATTGAAGGGGAAGTGTTGGAGATTGCCCTAGTTAATGAAGGTGAGTATATTTCGTATTTAGAACGAGTGCCTAGCTTCACTGTCATTTAGATGGACTGACTGTGTTAAATTTAAGGTGGCGAGGGACTCACTGATGAAACAATTTAATATAAAGAGATTTGGGATATTTTTCTAGTATTTTGTCAGAACCTTTAAACTGTCAAACACCAAGCGGTCACCGGTGACCGCAACCTATTGTTCTATAATTGTGTCTACAAAACCGGTACTCGACGAGTTAAGCAATGCAGCACGATCTATTGTAAGGATATTGCAACAGTGATGTCCCGCTTGTATTTGACACTTCTAATTAATTATTAGTTAATCTAAAATGTTTTAGATAGACAAGTTTGGGCTACGATGGAGCTGACGTAGCCTATTGCTTAAAAGCACCTATAATAAAATAAATAATAAAAAAAGATGGATTGTAAAGTTAAGTAATTAAGGATCAATTGAAATAATTGCTTTGACTTTCACTTATTTGGTTATATGTCACATTCAATTTGATGTGCATAACATCTTTAAATTGTCAAAGACTATCAACATTGGAGGAAGGCAATTAAACTTTGTTTATTCTCTTAATTTTCAGGCTTCGGCAGCAATGACTCATACACATTCCACATGCATGGCTACAACATGCAGGTGATCTCCACATGGCAGAATCCCAAAGACAAACCGATCTCCAAGGAAGACTTCCAGAAGTTGAGTAAAGATGGTAAAATATCAAGGTAAATATTTTTCCCCAATATTAACAAATATTTTTTCATTTCAATGGTTTCTATGTTGATTTCAGTTCAGTTTAGGTTAATGAGGGTTTTAGATGGTTTAAAAGGGGCAAAAGGCTAAAGGTTTTATTGACTGCAAATATTCTATTGGACAACAGACCTTAAGCCAAATTAGTCCTTTGTAGATTTGATGACAATAATAGAGTTTAACAGCCTATTGTCATGTACTTTTGGTATATAAGCTTCTATTTGGATAACAGAGTAAAATATACAAATAGGATTTGTTACGAAAAGGATTTTTATATGAATCCAAATATTTGTTTGGTAACTCTGAGTTAAACTGAAAATAATAACAATTTTATAAAAATCTACGGCTAACTCATGTAACCGATCTTGAGTAAATATGGATAGTTGGCTTGAAACTAGTTCAATGTCCTAGAAGCAGGTTAAGTATACTCACATAGTACGCATTATATTTGGGATGAAACTTTTTTCAAACAATCCACAGAATGAAAAACATTCGAAGATGATTTATGCGTTATTATAATTACTATACGGGTAATTTATTTTCTAATCTGTATACAATTAGCTATGGTAGCCTTATGTATAATAATGTAATAAACAACAAAACATTTCCATGACTTGCATCAAATTTCTAGCACTTTCTCTTTTATGGTGATGCTGAGTGATGCGATTTGAACGTGTCGTTATTACGCAACAGTTTTCTTATACCATCTACATTATCTGTATAATGACTTCTAGTAAATCGACGGAAATTATTATGATTATCTACTATTAGTGCTGTTGCCTATCTAACGCCCGAAAACTGATAGGCTACTCAATTTAAGTCGTACTTAAATATCGTGCTTGTCAAAAATGTACTTCTTACGACAGAAATATACTTAAGTGCAACGTAAATTGAGTGCCGTTTCAGTATTTAAAAATAAGTCTATGGTTGTTATTGTTACTGGAGAATCAAACTACTTAAGACCGTGTTCTGCTCAAAGCTATCTGTAGCACCTAGTAGTAAAATAATTTAATACAGAAATGATCGTACCTATTCAATAATCATTACTCTTATCTCTTTCAGAAATCTCCAAAACCCACCAGTGAAAGACACGATCACAGTGCCGAACAAAGGCTACACGATAGTCAGAATCAAGATAGATCGTGGTGGAACTTGGCTGCTGGAGTGTAGGTCATGTGCACTCTCCTCAGTTCCCGCTGCCATCATGATCAGGGTTCCAGAAACAATACCAAAGGCTGTGGTAGACTCTTTACCTAAGTGCGGCAACTACAGACCACCGGACGTGTTACTGAACTAAATAATTTCTAATAGACTGACAGTGTGCTTTGGTCTTGTGATTTTAGTGTGTAGTATTTATAAGTATGTTTGTAACTTAGGCTAAGTACTTAATGGTGCTTCTATGAATAATACTCAGTCATATTTTGACAGTGAAGAAATACATAGGTAAGATGAGAAAAGTTTAGAAACGAAGTTTAAACTGATTTTCATTATAGACATAGTATAATATCCTCTAATAAAGAAGGCTATGGTTACCTGGAGAACTTAATTTATTAAGTATAAAATATTGATATATTTTCAGTTCTTAATAAAGAAAATATAAAAAGACTATTCAAGACAATTAAATATTCATGCAGGCGGTCAAGTTGTCGGCAGTCATAAACCAAACGATACGATAGAAATAAAAACAATATTGTATAAAATTAAAAATATTTATTGAGTGGGATTAAAGAAAATTAAAAATGAAAGAAATGCTTTTATTACATTTCCTTGATATTGTAATTGATAAAATCTATATAGGTGGATACGTTAGTGTAAATAGTTGGTGCACCTTTTTGTCCACAGGGAGCAACACCCCAGGACACAACGCCTATAACAGTTGGAACTAAATCTTCTGTATTCTGTCTTCCCTGTGGACTAGCGTCATCTGCTCTTGTGGTTTCTTCTATTGTTTCAGTGGTTTGTTCATTGTTACAGTCATAGTAACTTGCATTATATCGTTCTGTATTATCCTCTACAGAATCATTTGGTTCCAGAATGCTATATGGAACATACTGTATGAGGGGTCCACCTGAATCTCCACTGCACGCTGCTATTCCTCCACTTGTTGGTCCTGTGCATATATTTGCATCTCTGTCTAGTGGATTTTCTTCGTTGTCTTCCTTTAGTTTTTCAATGGCTGCATAGCAATCTGTGTGATTGATTTTGAGATTGAGAAATGTTTCTGCTTTGATGTCAATTACAATAAGATCAATATTGTTTTAGTAAAATAACAACTGAAACTGCTAGATTTTGGGTTCGATTCTTAGTTTAGGCAAGTATATTTACTTATCTAACCTAGGTTAAAGTTTTGTTATATTATCTATTTGTTGAACTTTTTTCTTCTAGGTATATAAATAAAATTCTTGGTTAACTTTATTAAGTTTAACAAGAATTTTATATTTGCCTTTTGTTATTATTTATTAATAACAAAGTCGCGGTGGCCCGGAGGTTTAAGACGCCCACTTCTCATGCATGAGGGTGCGGGTTCGAAACTTACCAACGGCAAGTACCAATGTGACTTTTTCCGAGTTATATGTACTTTCTAAGATTATTCAGACACCACTGACAAACGGTGAAGGAAAACATCGTGAGGAAATCTAGGCTTATAATTTCTAATTATAAGTTTCAAGTCACCAGCTCGCATTGAGCAAGCGTGGTGGTTAATGCTCAAACCTTCTCCGTGTGAGAAGAGGCTTTGCTCAGCAGTGGGCATTTATAGGTTGTTGATGATGATTATTTATTAGCAGTTTTGAATGAAGTTTGTATTCGAGACAGTAACGAAGTAAGTAGATGAAGTTGATTGTAGGTTTAATTTCAATTTAATATTTACCGTTATACGGGATGTGAGATACTTGCACTTCTTGCAATCTGCTTGGCAAGTCAGGGAAGAAAAATGTGGTTTTCAGTGCTCCCCAACCTGGTAACTTCAATGTATATCCACCACGAAATTTATAATTATACGGCATATTTACTGGTTGAATATACTTTGTGAACTTAATTCGAGTTTCTGTGCCGAACACGGCTATGTCATATGGCCCGATACCACTGGAAAGAAGTTGATGAAATAGTAAACTTGAAATATACATAGTAACATATTTATCTATGTAGGTAAGTAATACCTGTCTACATAGATAGAATTTTTCAGTTTCGCAACGAAATGTTCTGAATTAAGAAGAATCTCAGAGTTAATTGATTCTTTGAAATCTGAACTGACATGATAGGTTTTACACCTTGACATGTGATCCATCAAACCGTTGGCGTTGTAAGGAAATAGCTATGTGAAAAACAATGATAATTACCCTTCATATAAAGGATGAGGTATACGTTCGTTGACCTTGATAATCTGTGCCCGCTCTCCATAATTATTGACATCGTGAATGCCTGCCACGACATCTAGCGGAAGCCATCGTATCATGAAAGACTCAATAGCACAGTGGGCGGCTGATAAAATCTGAAAAACAAGTTTATTAAACAAAAATATTAATTTCTTTCATAGTTTAAAAATGTAATACGTTCTTTAACATTTTTTAATTTTATTTCATGCTAAAGAAAGTGTGGTTCAACTGAAGAGATGTCTCATGCGCAGGCAAACACGTTTTAGTAAATTGCTCAGAAGTATGCGTAGGAGACAGACATAGTTTTTCTATTTGGACATTGGATAGTCTATTCTATAGGTATAATAAGGTACAAATATAAAAGGAAGTGTTTCGAATGGTCAAAATAGTCTGTAACAAAGACATCAAAGAGTAAAAGCATTGAAAGACATTTTTCTTTTCTTTACTACACAGTTATAAGTTTTTTTAAAAGTTCTTTACTATTATATACATTAATATTGAATTTGCTAATCTGGTCTACTTTACCCATCTTTCATTGAGGATGGCTCCACCACAGACGTGGACTCGCACCCAGAAGAACCTGCTCTGCAGTGACACCAGGTAAGGGTGGCTGTGAGGCCGCGCTTCGTGACCGCCCACGATCTTACTCGTTGGCTTTAAATTTTTTGTGTTTACTAGAAATACAAGTATAATATATAGAATTGCATATACGTAAATAATTAAATAATTGTGGGAGAAACACTTCGTGCGTTTTGATCTACACATTTAGGGAACAGAGAGTACCTATAGTTCCCTAAGATCGGAAAAAGAGGATTCTCCGACCAGGAGAGGTGTTCGTGCCTGGCGGGCTTTCTGCCCAACAGCTGTTCGTTGGGATTTTCTAGCCGTGTTAATTGCATGTGTGTGTAAAAAACTAACAAACAAATATTGTAATATTAGTAGGATTTTATAAAGTTTAAAACTTATTTACAAATATTTATCAGTTGCCATTGCACTTTGTCCTTCTTTGCTGCTCTGCTTTAAACGCGACTATATTCGGTTTTCACCTGTCAAAATGATTACTTACTAAACTAGAGCGAGTGGTAGTAAAATATTTACTACATATGTTAGGGCTTTTGATATTCGCGTCAGCGCATAGAAGTTAGTTTTGGATTTCTCACTAATACGTTAATATGTTCAATGATGGAAAACTTTTTTCCAAAACTAAACCAAGATAGCAAACAGTATCCTTTCGTTTTACGGAAACGTTGTTGAAATTAATTTTTGAAACGACCTTTTTTTAACATTGTCCAAGACTAGGGTTTTCTCATAAGTCGTGGGTGCATTTATAAACATACAAGTTCAAATACACATGACACCTAGACCCGAAACAACAATTGGTAGATTCGTTCCGTGCGGTGCTCCCTGGGCATGGGCCCCGAGTGCCCTTATGGTACAAACGGTACTGATTATGATATTGAAATAAATAAAAATAAAAAAAACACGAACCTACCTGTGTTAAGTAAACCGAATGTTAAGGTAATCAGAAATATCACAGTGAAGTTCATCGCAATATTCGGTGGATAAATTGTTCTGGAAAACTAGTTCTTACCGTCTTATATAACATTGGGTTTAGATAAATCCTTATCTGTTCTCATATTTGCAGAAGCTCAACCTTTTGTCTGCTTTGTTTAAAGTTCAAGTTTGCTAATTGTTTAGTGGATATCACGTGGAGTGTGTTACAAAAATGTCACAATTTTTTTTATATATTTCTTTTAACGTTTTTCCCACACTAGGATTTTCTCCTGTGTCGTGGGTGCGTTTACAAACATACAAGTTAACACACACATGACACTCAGACCTGGAACAATAATCTGTTGATCACACAAAGATTTCTTCCGTGCCGGAATCGAATTTACGGCACGTTGCGCGGCAGCCAGTGGCCCAGCCACCGCGCCAGCCGTGCAGTCGTAGGTATATCACTTAATTCGTTTTGTTTAGTAAAAACGATTCATCAAAGTATGTAGGTACCTACTACCTATGTGGTCACTATTTGAACGAGATAATCTTATACATTCTCTAATACTGAGAATTATTGTTACACCATCTATAAATGACTTGAATTTATAATCTGGACACCTTTGTACAGATATTTGTAGAATTCAAAATAAAAAAATACGAGAGACGTATATGTACGTCAACGTAAATATCGACGTATATAACGTATATACATCATACGTCATATAGTTTTTTTAGACCTTCATGTACCGAAGTAATGACCGAAGATTGCCTCGTTGGCCGAGTGGTTGCAAGTGTATGTTGGGCATGTTTTTAAAAGAGTAACGACGGAGTTTCTTGCTCGTTTTTCTCCATTCGAAATTGCACTTTGGAACGAGCGCTTATCTTCACTGACAGGTGTCAGCGTCAAAGTCCGTTTGTCTAGATAGACGGACGGAAAATTAAATTTTTGACATTTCAAAAGTGCATAGTTAAGGATTAATTAAAATAAATGCTTTGACTTTGACTTCGATACTCGGGTCGGGCAAAGTTTTTTTTTTATGGGATTATAACTTTTATTACACGATTTTTAAAAAAACTCTCAGTAGTAGTACAGAGCTTGGAATTGTGGCCGGTATACGACAATAGCCTCACCCCCTATTACATGGTACTCAAAACATAAATAAGTAAAAAGTGGCTGTTACATTGCACAATGGCATTAAGTGCCGTCATATGCATCTCTGCCTACCCTTTCGGGGATAAAAGACGTGATGTTTTGTGGAATAACGACCGACTGAAATAGAATAACCAAGTTCAGAGCCCCTGCAAAACATAAAAGTACCTTGACAATTATATTTCATCATACATACGGGTAATTAAAATATTGGACCAGGTCGTGCTATCGGAGTATCGACCTAACTACAAAATATTTGTCTTGTCACTGTGAACAGATTTTCAGATTTATTGTCTGCTATTTGCTAGTAAACCGCTCATACTTCCATTTTTTTAAGTTTGGCGTAAATTTTTCAATTGTTATCTTTTTCAATTTAAAAAAAAAATGTCTCACTATACTAGGTATAGTTTTTTTCTATTTTTCATCCATGACACATGAGTATGTAATGGTGTTTAGAAACATAAATTCATCATGTAGAAACATAAATTACTCAATCGAGAACCGGTACAACAATTGGTATTTTTTTTTTCATGCAGGAGTTGAATCCACTGTATTGATATCTCTAGTTAGGTTCCCTTTCAGGTACAAGTATAGTTTTTAATTTTCGAAATTCTCAGTATTTAAATAGGTAATATAAATAAGACGTGGCAGGTAACAGACACAAAAGCCATAAAGAAAATGGGTTTAAAAATAAATGAAAACCAACGACAAAAATTTACAAAACATTTATTTTCAATATAAAATGACTGTTTCCTAAATATACGACATGGTGTTCGAAGAGTTTAATGATAATAATTTAAAGAGTATAAAATTATGGAAAATGGTGGAGTCTTTCCATATTGCAGACCCAACACAGGTGTATACTTTCTGACAAAATATTACCCTGTGTCTTTATATTGATAGCTTAGAGTTAATCTTTCAAATAAGATAAATACTTACAATCTAAGTCAACTATGTTTTAACACGAAATCAACTAAACGTTACGCTTACGGCATTAAAAAAATCTTTTAAGTAATCTAATGAGTTATTTGTTTACTTACTTGAACGTTATTAAAAAGGTTTGCATTAAATAGTTTTTATTGCCGTATAATTTAAGTGCTGGCCGAAAAACAAAGAAAGCGTAAAATTAATTTGAAAATGGAATTAAAAAAAAATGGAAGTCATTATATAAGCAATGTAAACTATTTTGAGTAAATAATGAGTCGAGAAAATTAAAAGTAAACAGTAGCTAGCAAATAGGAGCACACGAAAGCGCTTAGAATATTTTTGCAAATGTAATTCTAAAATCGTATTAACGATGATTCATCGTTTAGAATGCGACGGAAGTATTAATTAAGCAGGCATTCATATTTTTTCTGTCTTCAGGCATCCGTGTATCGTTTCTCTTAACGAAAGAAATGCGAGTTTTTATCTTAAGTGAAAGATTATCTCGTTAGCACTTTGCAACCATCTCAAAGAGTGAATATGAATTGTACATGAACTAAATTATATGAATGGCGATACAAACTAATATCATTGCAATTTTTGCATAGAGATACACGTTACACCGTAACACAGGTTACGGTCTCAAGTTACATGATGGTCGGTAACTTGAGGTAAATTGAATAAACATGTTTTTATAAAGTTAAAAGGCCTATCAAGCCCTTCCGACACATGATGGAAACAAACAATTTAAAGTGAAGTGTTCGCAGGCCCAGACAAAAGAAACTGTGCAGTCTTGTCGGAAGGATGTAATTACAATAACCATTCTAAATATTACGAGTTGGTAATTACGTATTTGCACTTAACCCCTTTACGTTAAAATTTATTTAGGAATAACATTACATTTACGCCCCTCACTAATATAACCTAACAATAACACATCTTATTCTAACTTTATGTACAAAATTATAAAACGAGTAACAATAACATTTAACTACACACATCAAAGGAATTCAACAATGGCGGATCTAGTCGCCGCGTCGATCACAAGCTGGTCGTATACTTATATCTATAAATAATGATCGTGATCTGATTAAATACTTTGGTCTCTTACGCGAAACAGATGTCAGTTATTTAGAACAGAAACTTAAGCTTAGAACATTATTTACAAGACAACATTAACAAATATTTATCCCATTCGCACGTTGTTCATATTTCAACAACAGAACAAAATATGGCAGTACGCGATGCTTTACACTCCTGTTTGGTTTTTCACTAATCGATTACGAATATCGATTTATCATTGAGTTCTCGATTGTCTCAGTGTATCGGGAAGTACGGCGGAGTGATCGTTGGTAGGTGGTCGCCGCATCGAGGGAAGTTCGGAGGCACGGGTGGCAGGTCCCCTTGTGTGCCGATGTGAAGAATTAGGTTCATTCCTATTACTATGTGATAGATGAAGTGACAGTGGAACAACCAATATCCTGAAATAGAAACGTGAGTGTTAGAAAAGAGCATTAAACAGAATCATTCGTTAAACTCCTTGAAAAAGTAACATTTTTTTTTATAATGGCAATATCATTGGGGTGTCATATTCACTTTAATTATGTATAAAGACATTTTGGACACTGTAATATAAACCCTATTTAGCTAAAAATAAGTGTGAAATACGTACCTGGGTTATCAGCCTTCAGTCTTAATACGACGTACCCGTTGTTGGGTACAGCAAGAGTATCTTTGAAGGGTGGGAGGTTGTACTGCCTGTGTAGGAGACCCTTCCTGTCCAGGTCCAGGGCGTGTTTCAAATTAATCTTCTTTATATTCTTGTCTGGAGATCTGCCGATACCGATCACGTTGTACGGAGTACCGTGAAGGTGGAACGGATGCGACAGATTCGGTGATTGTACTGAAATTAAAAAAATACAAACTATGAGAGTAGAGAATAGGCCGTAAGTTACTTTTTAGACGTTTCCTCTTAAGAAAAAAGTAATACTTTTTTGTCAAAATAATTTTTTTACCTCCTATTGTATCATACTTATGACTCTTGTTCTTATGTTCCTTAGGAAACTTCCTTATTTTAATAGTAATTTACTTAACTTGTAATAAATATTTCATTATATACTGAATCTTTATCTATCAGCAAATTAAGACAAATTATTTACCTTCGTCAACGAGTACGATTTCTACAATGGAGTTGAGAGGCACGTCTATCATATGTGTGCAGCGGCAGTCGACGGCGCAGTCAGCTGGTCTGTTGTCTCCATTGCAGAAGAGTTCAGGTGACAACTCATGCATCTGTGACAGCGGCGGCGCTGGTGGTGCTCGGTATGAGATCTCATCTACCAAACTTAGGACATGGTCACCACCGGGAGCCACTGGAATACAAGTAAAACAATATTTAAATCATTTTCATTTTTAAAAACGTAAGTCGTTTCTACTAATTGTAAATTTTTGAGAATTAGAATTTTTGAGAGAGTATTAGTTTAAGCCTTTGTATCAAGGAAAAGATTTATGTACATACGTTTGTCTTCATCACTATGAAAATTTTCGAGTTTCTAACAAAACTGGACTAATCAAACATATTCCTAGAAATGACTTTGAAACCTTACCTAGATAGTTCCTGTAAGTATTTTCCTTGAACAGATCCTTTGGCTTGTAGAAGTGGAATCTGAACGGCAGGAAGATCTTGACATCAGGTCTTTCTTGTAGGATGGCTTTGTCCACGGGCCTGGCCGACTTCAGGTTACTCACACAAACAGCGTCGTTTCTCTTTACATTGCAGATTGCGTCCAAGGGGTTAAGAATCTATAACATTAATGTAGGATTGTAACAAGATATAAAGGTATATTGGTGTATAGCAATATGTGCTGACTTTAAAATTGTATTCCAAATATTTTTAATTGCATTGCTTTTTTGTTACTTCTGAGGCAGTACAGCAATGCTTTATTTATGTTAATTCGGCAGATTTATTTGAAGCCATTTAATGTGCTAAAAGCTTTACACAAATGTATGGTTTAGTAACACAGTTATTATAAAAGAAAAAGATATTTACACAAAGAAATATAGAACATTTACAACCTGTGTCTCGATGCCAAGTAGAGGTCTACTGGAATACCCATCATGCACAAATCAATCCATGCAAGTCATCTATCTAAAGTATATAATAATACTAGTGCTATATATACACAAATATACAACAGTTCATTACAACTGATGTGTGTCTAATTCTACAAAATAACTACTAAAAGGAAAATAAAATTAACCGCTATGTTTCATAAATTTTATTAAATGGTATAAAATTTTACATTCTTATAGTAATTTTTATATTATTATTATAATCGTAACACTTTATTCTCGTTTACGTTTAGCAAGATATACCTACTTCGCTGCAAGATATGTTCGATGTAAGTTGCGTGTTGTCGTTTCCAATCGACTAGGACACACCGATATCTATTTTATGAAATTTCCGTTGGCACAATCACACTGACTTCTAGTAGCCGTAACAATTAACAAAAATTCTTAATTAATGGTAACCTCACGTGTGCGCGCTGTATATCTATAGTCTACGTAATAATATACAGTCTTCGTTTGTGTACGGGTGTGGTACAGAGTGATCATACTACTGTGTATTTACAAAAGTTCCGCAGTACGTTATTTACATTTGTCATAAACGGTAGAAGTGCATGCAAAATTGGCAGGGTATGAAAAGTCTTACAATTCTAAGCAAGTAGGTCTAATAAGTAATTTTTAAATATATACAAGTAATAAATATATCATTGGTGAAAATAAAATTATAATGGCAAGTTGTTAGTTACAGGACGAACAAGTCTTGTTAAAACTATACTCAATACGCGAAAGTAATAATTGTTGGTTCAAGAGCCTCAAAGTACATATTATTGGCGATATCAATAATTATAACGTAATTAAGAAAATATCACCGAATATGGCATAAAATTAAAATTGAAGTCAACTCGCAGAGAGAGTGCATCCATTGTTAAATAAAATCACAAACCATCATTAACTCCCATTGAATCACTCTTGTAAAAAAATAAACACAAACGGCAGAATCGAGCACTTCGAATCCACCGGACACATCACACAAAACAAACATAAATTTACACTTAGTTAACATATTTAAATCAACTGTACATAGCTGTGTGCTGTACTTTTGTTTGCACATGCAAAAACTGGGCAATTTTCTAGGAACCAATTTAGTGGAGCGAGATGGGAGGGAGGTGGTCGCCGCATGTGGGGAAGTTGGGAGGTACAGGAGGAAGGTCGGCCTGAGTGCCCACTTGCAGGACGAGGTTCATGCCGATTACAATGTGGAACAAGAAGTGGCAGTGGAACAACCAGAAGCCAGGGTTGTTGGCTCTGAAACGGATAATGACGTAGCCGTTGTTCGGCACAGCGATGGTGTCCTTCGCTGGAGGGAGGTCTCCTTGTTTCAGGTGACGCTCGAGCAGACCTCTTCTATCGAGGTCGAGAGCGTGCTTCAGGTTAATCTTCTTCACGTTCTGGTCAGGTGACCGGCCGATACCGATGATGTTGTAGGCGTATCCGTGCAAGTGGAACGGGTGAGATAAGTTTGCGATTTGAACTGGAAAATGGAAAGTACAATCAAGAATTTGCATCTATTATAATTATCGTAATCGTAATCTATGTATACGTGATGCATTACTTCCCGTTATTGTATTCGGTGTTGTATATAATTAGCAAAGAAATAAATCGATTTACGTGATGATAACATCGTAAATAAGGTCCAAATTGAGTTATAGATTAACTATGAGTGGTTGAATTACTTTGAGCTTTAATTTTGACGGGCTATTAAATATCATGTAATTAATACATACCTTCATCTACTAACACAACTTCGACAACAGCATTAAGAGGTATATCGACCTTGTGTGTGCACATGCAATTCTGTCCACAATTGGCCGGACGGTTGTCACCGTTGCAGAACTGTTCAGGGTTAATGTCATCATACTGACTGATCAGAGGCGCTGGCGGTGCCATGTATGAAATCTCGTCTATTAAACTGATCACGTGATCTCCTCCAGGAGCAACTGCGGACATTGATTATATGTTATTGATGTGGATGATACTTCCGCGCAATAAGTCAAGAAGGGTATTTACATTAATAGCTTACCTAAATATCTGTTATAAGTATTCGGCTGGAACAACATCTCGGGCCTATAGACGAAGAAACGGAAAGGCAAGAAGATTTTAACATCAGGCCTTTCTTGTAGGATAGCTGGGTCAATGTGCTTGGCGTTCTTGAGCTGACTGACGCAAATAGCATCGTTCCTGGTTATATTACACCTCGCGTCCAGCGGGTTCATCACCTGGATAGTTAGTGAGGAGAAAGGTTCGTGCAATTACTAGAAATACGTGCAAATGTACATTATATACTACTAAAATGACTACTTAAACTACAAAGATGGAAAAATATTTGCACTCTTGCAGAAATTCAATCAAAGTGCAAACACACACCTTCTCACAAACCGTTACATTGGTATCTACGCGATTTTAAAATGACTACAGAGACAACTTGGTATTGATATATTTACAAAACCGGTAAGTGGTACCGGTAACTATTTCACCTGACTGTACATGGTCTAATTCGTCAACAGCTATAATTTGATTTTTCGCTTTAATTTATTCACTGCTGCGAAAATTGTTTCATATCGGCTCCATACCAGTATTTATGTTTGAGCAACGAGTTGGTATAAAGTCGACACTTGGACCATGTTTAATCGAGGCTGTCGTGTCGGTACCAAGAATTCAGTATGCAATATCCGCTGTTTAATAATTGAGGCGGGTAGTCTCGTGACACAGGCTACGGACTCCATGCACCTCGCCACGAACACCAACTAGAACACTGCACCATGATTACGAGTGGCTCCATCTTCTAGTAATACTACTACCAACTGATAGGAAAGATAGAAATATTTACATAATCATAGTTTCAATCATCTACTGGTCTACAAGTGGTATATAATATAATACAGTATCGCTGTATATTACACCTGCATCTACTACTCACCACTCCTTGAGGAATGCCGACATCGTAAGTAGGTGGTTGCGAAGAAGGCTGGTAGGGTCCTCTGGCGTATCGGAGAATACCTAATTGTTGGGCTCTCTTAATACCGCACTCGCCGAGACCTCGGACCTGGATCCAGTAAGCTCCAGGAATGTTGTTCGCTTCGATTACAAAGTCGTATCGTTCGCCTGTAACATGGGTTATAACATTTTAATATGAATTTCATTAGGATCTAGATAATTTGCGAATGTTGTAAAATAGGAAGCATGTATGTGTATGTTATACAATGTTTTTGCTCGACTGAGTGCACTAGCTAATTAAACACCTAGGTATTACAACACATAGGCGTGTCTTATTAAAATCGCAATCGATTATATTATCGATAATTACATTGATGCGGCTAACATTGCGATCTTTCTTTGAATGTAATTTGTTATGAATAAAATCTTAGCTTACGTACTTATTTTAAGTCATATCATCAAAACGCATAAATTTCCATTGGACAACAAGTTGTTATTTTTTACTTCCCGTCTGCATAAATTGTCGCCACTCATAAAAGAGTGTCTCAATCAGGTGTGGGGGAACTTCTTCAGTATAACGCTACAACGGCCATTGTTCGAAAGCTGACTCGTAAACATGTGTTTGTTGCTTCCTTGTACTATACTAACCTGAGAACGAGATGATGGTGTTTACTTGTACCGGATGGACAGGTTCGCCGTCAGTCGCAATAACAGTTAAATTGTGGCCTTCGAAAGTGACTTGAGCAGGGCACACCGACGCGAAAGCGTTGATCATTCTGAATCTGTAACGTCTTCCGGGCGTGATCGTGAACACTTCCAGGGGTGTGTTAGTCATGAAGCCAGTGTTGGGATCTCTGAATTGACCCTTTCCGTTAATCAGCACGTTCTCGGGATCCTGACCAGTGTTGACAGCAAGACGACCTGGGTACCTCTCCGCGGCATCCTCGTGCAACCAATCACTAAGTAGCATTACGTGGGTAGTCAAATCGTAATCGTAGAGATGACTGTTGGGGTCTTTGGAAGGAGGTTGACGTACGACGATACTGCCATATAAACCATCAAGCTTTTGAAGTCCAGTATGAGCGTGCCAGAAGTGGGTACCTGCGTTACCTTGCCATTGATATCTGTGAACAGAATTTTACAATATAAGAAGTTGTGATTTAACAGGCTCAAGTTAAATAGTAAAAATTAGAAATCACATACCTGAAAGTATTTCCTTGCTGGATGGGGCACTGCGTTACAAAAGGCACACCGTCGTAGTACTGAGAGCCTCGTTGCCAGATTCCGTGCCAGTGAATGGTCACTTCCATACCTTCCATGTGATTTTCTACATCGATGACAACTTTGTCGTTCTCGCACACTTGGATGGACGGTCCCGGCAACATTCTGTTTGCTGTGAGGATTCCACGTTCGACACCATCAGCCAACACACATTGGCAGTGCGACCATACCACATTCGTAGCGTTTGGTGTACATACTTGACACGCCCTGTAATTGGAATGTGTGACATAAGTTATGCTCTATTTCTTTATCAATATCTCTTACACCACTATTCTTCGGGCAATACGTAGGCTATAATGAAATAAAGTTGTTTGCATAAGTCCTGTCGTCACCTATCAATTACGTGGCCTAACGGAATTTGGATCGTTGTATTTAAGTACGGCATTGAATTGGATTCCGCTAACAGTTCGTGTGAAACAAAGCGTAAAATGTGCGAAATGGAAAAGTCGGTCGCTAGGTCGATTTTTTCCTGCGCACGACTTTGCGTGAGCATCTCGAAAATATTTTCGTCTATCTCGGGATCTTGGCGCGGATGGCAGAGCTCTTACGAAATACAATGAGGTAAGGAGTTACTCAAGTCTTAAGCCTTTTTTTAAACTGTTGTGATATAAGACGATAACAGTGATTGTAAAGTAAACGTCTGATCCGTGCAATTATAGAGGCACAATTGAATAGACTTCCGACTCAGTTAGCTGCAAGTGCTGCAACTTTAATCAGAAACGAAGAGTCTATTATTATTGTTGGAAATAAGAACGACGACCGCTAATCCAATGTCACTGAATGATCTATCGCAATGTTTACACCTTGGTTTCAAATAAGTCTATATCCGTTTAAAAACACAATGATTCTTTTGTATCCGTAGGTGCAAAGGAAACAAACTTCATTAGCATTAGTACGTATTGAGCTACTTTGGAAATCTACTACAATTTTCCTTATATGCTCGCGTGAATTATTTTCCGTTCTATTTGTAACAACGTAATGATTCAGAAAAAATTATAAAGTATGTTAAAATGTGCAAGTAAGAATTATAAAGGCTACTCACGCTCCCAAAACCGTGTACAACTCAAGAGTGAAGTGGTAGTAGCAAATCCTTGGTGGTTCATTCTCTCGGCAAGCACGAGCGCACTCATCAGGGGCTGACAGAGCTGGGTTCCTCCTCAGTTCAGCTGTCGCACTGCTTGTGAAGTCCAGATGTTTCAGGGAAGGTTTCCCGTTGGCATTCCTCGCCAAAGATGGCAGAGGGTTGTTTCGAACGCCACCGCTTAACGGACCGCTGCCGCTGGACGCGAATGGGTTAGAAGAAGGTCCAGATGTACTACCAATGCTACCAAAGGAGGCAAAGGGGTCGCTGCCTGAAGGGTGAGTTTGCACGAGTCCGTGGGTGGACGAGAAGGCGCTGCTGGAGCTCTCGCGGAACGGTGTAGCGGTGCCAGCCTGCCACCATGATGCAGATGTTGATTGATCGTCAGCTGTGCTTATAGCTTCTGTAAAAGAAAGAAAATGTCTTTGTCAGTGTTCAGAAATGTCTAATATAGTGATACAATTATCTTAATTGCATTAGTTTTCAGATAAGACTTAAATTTCTTTTACTTTATTGTGATCGAAGTCATCTCTATACTTGGCCTGAAAGTTGGGTACAAGGTGACGGGTGGAGGTCGTCTCGGTCTGTTTGGAAGTTCATTTAAATTAGCCAGTTTTTGCTTGAACTCAATAGTTGAAACAGATACGAACGTAATTTATTTCTATAGATAATTTTCTTTTAGTGACCACAATGGAAATTAGTGCAGATGGCAAGTTGACTTGTTTTTTGTTATTTTAATATTATAGTCCTAGATTATATTTTAGGTCAAAGTTGTTGGTAGAAAATATAATAACAATAGATACAAGGCATTTTGTGAAGTATGAAAATGAGTAGTCCACACTGACGAACATCACAACAATGAACCTACACTAATATCTCTTACAGCCTACTCGCTAAAACTTAAATACGCAAGTAAAGCTATCGCAAAATCAAACCATAGAACGTAAGATAAATGATTGGCATACATTACTCATAAATACCGATATTCAATGTAGATAAAAGACGTGTAAATTACAAACGTTCCGAGGCATTTTAAGTGGAACGAATGATCGCGAATCTGTAACGATTTTCCCAAGAACTGACAGCAGTTGAATGTTCGCGGACGATAAGTTTATTAGATAAGTCGGTACTAGGTCACGACAGGTGCGTTGATGCAAATTCTGTACAGCACTCGTATAATGGTTACAAGACCTGTTGTCACGAAGTTTTCGTAACATGCGGTCCAGCGTCCTTAAATTAAAGGGACTTTACTTCCTTGTATACTGTTACAGTTTTCTCGAAGCATTAATTGAACATTACGCAGTCCGATACGATCGTTCAATTACCACATTATTATAAATGTTTGCTCAATATTTGTAGTGATGTGATACCGGTTTCTGTAATGATACCTTTTAGGGTTCCTCCACGAATAGCTTGCGAACCATGCATTGTTCGCATTTACGTTTTGCAACCGACTATTATAAACTATTAACTTGTAGATATGCAACAAAAACTGTTCAATTTTATTCTGGTTGCGGAACATATAACAATGTGTTGAACGAACTTGCTAGTTTTTTGTAGAACCGTTTAGGTCCAAGAGCCTTGAGGTGACTTATACTTTTATTTCCTTATTGGTAAACACTAACATTGGTTGGCGATTCGTTACGGCGCCGGCGATTACAGGCGGGTTATCAGAAGGGTTATTATTTCGAATTACGAGTCGCGTGTTTCGTTTTCTAAATCGATGGATCGTGTTGTTTGTAGCAATGCTCGTGGAGATTATTTCTCGTATTGCATAGATAATTAAAAGATGTTTATTATTATTAACACCTGTGTACATTCATTAAAGCATTATAAGGTGTTAGGAAAGTTTTTTTTTATATATTTTATGTCAAAAAGTTTAAGTTAGAAGTACTATGTAGATGCTCCAATGATTTTGATCTTACTCACAATCTTTGTTCACATATAAAGAGAAGATTATAGCATTACACTATTACGGCTCAGCAAATTGATATCATGCGGTTCACACCTTTTGAAAATAAGCAATCAGAATTCAGTAAGTGCGGACCACAAAACCCGCTCATTAGTTGCATAAATATGCCACCCAATAGGTTCGTTGCCGCTACTTAGATCTAGTTTATTGCTTATTTATAAGGAGCATAAATTGTTGCTATCTAATCAGAGATTAATTTAGTGCCAGCTGCTGCGGTCGACTTGTGGTTCGCAATCAGCCCCCGAGGATTTCTCTTTTCGCCTTAAACACTGGATGTAACGCACTGTATAATGCGTAAAAACACACCACTCGAGGAAATGTTTAAAGATGATTACGGAACCATTACGGAAAAATTGCACATGACTAATCTATAATATGCTACTTTAGTCTAGTTACTAAAGCAACCTGTAATTTCATACCTACGTGTGTGTTGTTCTTTGTTCTCATTCACGTCGCTTTTAAATATAATCGCAAATAATGTTTAGAGCAATGTTTTAGTTTTCGAATTGTACATGTTTTGAGAGCTTGATATTTTATTTTAAAAATCGATTTTGTTTTTGTTTTGGATTCGGCTTTACGCTTTGGGTTTCGTTTCAGTGCGAAATTGATTAAGAAACGATTTATTAGGTCAGTTAGTAACTTGCAAAATTTTGAGTTTATCGAGGTAAAATAATGAAGCAAGTTATAATGAAATCACCACATGAAAATGTGGGTTGGTATTTAAATAATGTCTATTATATTTTAATGAACGTGAAATATACTGAAGCTAAACGCCTCGTTGATTTAGTGATGGCAATTGTATGGGTGCCTGGAATCGATTTCGAACTTAGACACAGAGTCAAAATTTACAAAATTATTTGAAGAAACTTAGCGATTAATGTATGTTATATACATTTTTTACAAGTTTGGTGAATATCAATACAAAATACTAATTATAATTGAACAACGTTTTGTTTCCAAGCATTAGTGTATTGGCTACAAGATTTGCATCGAAACATTGTTGCAACTCAATGGCCGTGCTCAAAGAAACGTGTTTGCATTCAATCAAGTTGTTTGCGATTCGCTTTGGCGATGACTCGTTCCGTACATCTAATAGTTTCGTGAGCAAATCTGTTCACCGGATTATTAGTACTATTACTGTACCGTTACGCGATTACACTTTATATGTTTGGTTAAATGATAGTATTACAAAGCGCATGTAACCGCAGTTATGTTTTTTACTAACCCACGTAGATTTTTTTATACTGATAGACGTATGTAGCTTGATAGAGTGCCTCTTCAGATGATATCACGCTTTCAAAGTAATGGTTTTAAATGAGGCTTAATTATTTAGTCGTGTGATGAGCATACCCGTACGAATATAATATAGTTTCATATATTCTTTATTTGTGTATTAAAAGTTGCGGTATTTTAATAGTACGTTAGAAATGAGATGATATAATATGACTATGGAAGTAAAGTTTGTTCTGACCGTAGTAGATAAATTGAACCGGCTACTTATGTGCTAATGGTAGCGCTGACAGTTCTCATAATAGATTGTGTTAGATATTTTCGTTGCTTGGTATTTAATCTTCGTAGAATTATGTAAGATGGCAAGCACCTATCGTTTTGATTACAGCCTTAAGGCAGACTTGTTTAGTAAAATAAATATATAAAGTGTAGATTATAGTTATAACAATATTCACTCCTTAAAAGTAAGTGTGTTAAACGATCATAAGATAGAAAATCGCGTGTACTAAATTGTAGGTGGAAAATGATTGATAACATGTCATTAAGCATAAAAGGTCGTAATCTTACCCACACAATTTTCAATTAGCGACCCACTTGGCAACTGTGCATGAAGAGAAAGAAAAAAAGTAGCGTGTAGTGCAACCTACTCGTTGATAGAACAATATGTATGTGAAGTTTGTGAAATAAATCAATCATCGATCGTTCCACTCGTTTGTTTAGCCCCTTTATATACGTCGTTAACCATGTCGGTTTATGAGGCGCGGTGTTCACAAAAAACGTGGAAATTACAATAATTGTTGGGCAAGGCCATGTTTTACTGTCCAAACAGATGTATGTTGTGGGTAATGGAGTGTTGTGATGTTTATTTACATATAAGGTGTTGACCGCGTTCTTTGTTATTGTGTTTTTATTGATAATGCCGTAGACACCTACTCATCATTATCATCAACAGCCTATAAGTGGCCACAGCTGACCAACGGCCTCTTCTCGCAAGGAGATGGTTTAAGCATTAATCACCATGCTTGCTCAATATGGGTCGGCATACCGGATACCTACACACTTAGGTATATTTCAGATGAAATGGATATTTATTGTACTCGATTCATTTATGAAAAAAGCATTTCTGAAGTAGATTATATTTTCATATGGTTATTAAACCTTTAACTGCCGATAAAAACCATTTAAAGCTGATCCTCCGCTAGTGTGCTACGGCATCCAATATGTTAAGATCATTTTGGAAAACTAGAATACAAAAAATAGAGGCAAGTTATGGTGACATTTAGTTCACTATTTAACCGTGAGATTTTTTGTGAGATTGCCTGTTATTAGGTTTCATTTAGCATCACTTAAAAGTGTTAATTTATTTCTGCATGACCCGCTAATTAGTTGCAACACAAACTGTAGTTGATTCTTTAGGTTTAGCCAGATGATTACTAAGCTTTTTAATTGTACCACCAAATATTCGATTACACGCTTGTCTGAATCATTGCAAAACTGTGAAGTAATTATCAATTAAAACGTCTATGTTTCAGCCAAGTTTTTCTTATTTACTATTTCCTATACTTTATTTCTTAGCGATTAAAACATAAAATGATATATAACTTGTTCTCTACGAATGTTGATTGCGTTGTATATTAAACTAAGAAATCATAGTGTTCCGTCATTTCATATTTCTCGCTATATTTCTACCCACGGCTCCGCTTGTCTTGAAATCGGTGATTATCCACCAAACCAGGTATTAAAACGAGAGTTGTGATAACGTCAAACGGTAATTAAAGGGTTGGTTGTATGTTGCATAATATTGGAACTTTGTACGATATACAAATAAGGTACCTAGAAACTAGTAGTAGTTGTTGCAAAATTAAATGTTTCATTTAACTTTAACTAGTAAGTTCTGTAATTTGTATTATACGTCAAGCGTGTTTTTACATTGTTCTCACATATAGGTAGAGTACAATATTCTAATATGCATCAGAGAGATTATAAACATACTATTTTGTAAGAGTAACGAATGGAGTTTCTTGCTCGTTCTTCTCCACTCGAATCTACTTTTTGGAACGAGCACCTAGCTTTACTGACGGTATGTCCGTGACAGACAGACAGATATGACAGACTATTATTTATTTTATGTTTGTTGACGTTTAAAAAGTACCAACTTATGGTTTAATTGAAACAAATGCTTTTGAGTTTGAGTTTGAAAA